GCATGAATGAATTAATCACATAAACAATACTTATGCTGGGTCTACAATGCGAGTCTCACAGTCGCAAGAATGTTCGTAAGAAAGAAAACGACCAATCATAGTGATCAATTTCTTTCGACCGTTCCTGTGACTCTGAAACTCGCATTGTAGACCCAGCATTATTTTGTGCAACTTTTTCATTAGATATATTGTAAAGAATTGATTCAAAATTATCTCTATAAAATTTATTTTGAGTAAATTTATTATAATAATATTTTTAAAATAAATATATTAAAGCATCCCTTGGGTTTTACTTTTCAATATGTTAAAAATAAAATAAATATTTTTATTTTTCAACAAATTTTTAAAATTTTATAACTTTAATATTTTATATAATTCAATATTATATGGACGGGTAAGAGCCATAGTGATGTAAGTCAAATTTTTTAAGATATTGGTTCATGTGCATAGATGCAATCTATACAATATATAAATTGCATCTACACACTAAAGGCAATATTTTTAAAAATTTGATTTACGCCACTATGACTTTTACCCCTCCATATATACTATATGAAACATTTTTACATAATAGATGTAGACGATCAGATTCAGTAAGGAAACTGCATCAGTTAAAAACTGGTGGTGGTCCACCAATAGTGATTGATGATGATGAAGAAGACATACATGAAAGAGTTCGCAGTGTTGTTCCAACAATTGATTTTACGTTAAAAAATCAATGGGATAGTACAAGTGAAATCGAAAGTAATATTATTTTTCTTTTTCTATTTAATTTCTATTTTTTACTAGTGCATTTTTTATAAATTTGAAAAAAATATGATGGTGATTAGGAAACATGGAAGACATCCAAGATACATTTAAAGAAGAAGAAATAGGAAATAAGGCAGATCTTGACAAATATGAAAGAGAAAACTATTCTGAAAGTAGTAATGAAAATGATCATGTACCTTGTTATCTTGCTGGTGATTTGAGTGCCAATGCTGGTTTAAATGAAAAAGGTATATTTCTTTTTAAGTATGAACTATGATTATTAAAAAAGAAAATTTTTATTTATAAAATATATGCAGTTTCAAAGGAAGTCTTGTTAAACAAATGTTTAACCATAAATAGTGCCAAGAGTACTATTACAAAAATATCAGAAAGCGACAGTTCCTTGAACAGACATTCTTCTAAGTCCAGTACAGCTGGTAAGTGTGTATACCCAGATAGCACAGCTGATCTTTATGAATTCAAAAAGATCTGTATCTGATTTTTATGACTTCATAAAGATCAGTTGTGCTATCTGGGTATTATATATGCATGAACAGATCGCGTAATTTTGTTGCATTCATGCATGTGCGTAATTTTATGAAAATATTTTGTATTAGAAATTTGATACGAGTCTATTCTATTTTTTGAAAAATGATAAATGTCAAAATGATATTAATTTTGTTTCAAAATGATAAATTTGGTACTAATAATATTGCAACATTTGTATTTTACTTTTTACTATTGTAGGAAGTAGTATACAACGAAAGTCTATGAATGTTCTTCAAAATATTTTACCAAAAAATGATGAGAATCGACTTAATAAGTGTAAAGGTATGAATTATCATATCACTCTTTTAAGTGCCCGTCTACAATAGGTGTTTTAAGTCCTAAACCTTAAGAAATTGTTCAATCACAGTTAAATTTGAGGAGAATAATTGATTGTGATTGGTCCATTTCTTAAGACTTTAGGGCTTAAAACACCTATTGTAGATAGGGACTAATGAAACTTAATAACAACTCAAAAATCTTTTTTTTTTAAGAACATTTATTTAACAGGAAAAAATCTTTATAAAATTTAATACTTTTTTAAAATTGTATTATTTTATTTTAATAATTTAACTTATCCTATCTTTCAATGATTAATGTGTTTCTGTGAGAAATTTTCTACACAAATTTTATTTAAAAATTGAGTTAATATTTTTTCTCTAATTATTATTTCATTTATATAGAATTTATCTTTTTTTTTATTTTTATAAAAGATTTGACTGCAGAACCTTCGAATAAAAAGAGGAAATATCCGACTGGTTTAGAAATTGAACAAGATTTGAGAATACAGAAATTAGAAGAGTCAACGAAGCAGCAGTCAGAGCTGCATATAGAAAAGCTAAGAATTATTCGAAAGGAATGCGAATATTGGGATAAAATGAGAGCTGCTGCAGAATTGGAAATGCAAGCAATGCAAGCACAACTTAAATATTGGACAGCAAAGTATACTGCAATTGAAAGTGATATATTAGATATATAAGTCATTAACGAAATTGATTCAGTTGATTAATAATATTAAGAAGCAATCATATCTACTAATCTTTTACATGACAATGAATGAGTGTTATAGAAAGAACAAAAGATCTTTTTTTCTGTCTTTCTAATACAAAATGTTTTATTTGTCATGTTACATTTTATTTTTCGAGATAAACAAAACCGTATTCTTTTTTTCATGTAATAAGTACTTTTTAAGAAAGTAATATATAAAAATATTAAATTATTTTGTTTATTTATGTTAATTTTTGTTTATTTATGTTAAAAATGTTTATTTTATTTTATTTTATTTTATTTCATATTCATTAACAAAATTGATTTAATTGATTAATAACATTATAAGACAATATTCACTAATTTTTTACATAACAATGACTATGTTTACACGACTCGATTTACGCTGATGTTAACATTGGCGTAAATCAGGCCATATAAACGTAGTCAGTGATTGAGTGTTATAGAAAGAACAAAATATCTTTTTCTCTGCTTTTTTAGTATAAAATGTTGTATTTGTCATGTTACATTACTTTTTGAGATAAACAAAAATCATATTTCTTTATGCAATAAGTATTTTTTAAGAAAGTAATACATTTATATAAAATTGTAATTAATCATTTTTGTTTTATGTTAAAAATGTTTATTTTATTTTCATACTTCTCAATAAATGATTAATATTTTGGATAAATAAAAATTATAAATTACAATAACAAATTGTTATTTTATTTAATCACAATGTTTTACAAATATTTTTATAAAAATATTTTTGAAAATCTTATTAAAATAACAAACAATTTGTATAATGATTATATATTAATGCATTAATCACATATTTCAATAAAATAATTATCTTGAGAAGTGTCGAATAATGAAGTGCAATCGATAATCTAATCCATTCATATTACGAGGAGGATCAGCATCTAAATATATTGCATTCTCTGGTTCTACTTCAACGAAAACATTTTTATTTGGATAATTAATGTGGATGTGCAAGTTCCACAGAACTGCTGTAGCACAAATGATAGCAATGGAAGTATCTAACTTGTTTAAAAGTCCCCTTTTTAAACAAGAAAATTTTCTTTTC